GGACTGCAGGAAACAGATCACAAGAAGCAGCCTAACTCAGACAGCCCCCCAGAAGAGGGCAAGGTCACCACCCACGGCGATCGCTGTTCATCACTGTTTGATGACGTGGCTCAGGCCACACGCAGGAGCCTAGAGACCATGGCCTAATTCTCTCTTTGAACCTAAAAGCCAAGGTGCACGGTCTCATCAAAGGCAACATCCCTCTCATCGCTTGGAATAGAGCCTTGTGCTTTCCCTGAAGGGAGTACTCTCCAGCTTGAATATAATCTTCATGCCTGAGTCAGATGAAGAGCAACCCAACTGCCCGACAAAAGATACGAACTAGCTTCATGTTGGTCTGGGCCGGAGCATTGCATTCCGGGCAGTTGGTGTTGAACTGGTGCACCTGGAACGCAACAGGGGGAGGCAGAGTGAGCCCTCCCAAGCGGGAGAAACCTGCTCAGGCTGGAGACATTCAGCTGGTACACTGGCGGCCACCCGTGAACAGCGTCAGTCTCAGCCCACCACTCTGCTCCTTCCTCCACAGTCGCCCATGTGACTCACTTCGTTTCTGAGATCTTCCTCTTCTGGTTTCTCTTCTGGTTCCTCTGCCTAAAGTAGCAGAGATGCAAATCATATGTTGGCACACAGACCTCAGCCTCGCCAACACCCTGCCCCAGAGTGAGAGAAAATGCTCTGTCTTGCTTACGTCAGCTGCCACCTCGTGGGTTTAGCAGAGAAGTTGGAAAGCAAAGCCCCAGCCGAGGGAAGAACAGAGCTTAGGATAGGATCACAGCCACTGCTGTCCTGTGTTGTAAAGTTTACCCAAAGTCCTTAAGTGAGCTAGAGGGGAGGCACACACATGCTGAGATAGCGTACACAGTGCGGCAGCAGCAAAATAAGTTCCCACTGACTCCAAGCAATCGGAGTGCAAGATAATTCCAGAGCATTCTTCTGGCTTCTTCAGTGCATTTACCTGGAGCCCCAGCATCTCTTCCTGCTGTAGAGTCCGATTATAGTGTGTGATCACCAGGGCATCATCTTTCCGGGGAGCATGTGGGTTTTCCACAAAGCTGTTCCCTGAGGGATCATCAATGATCTAACAGATGGGTAAAGAGAGAGCAGTTGTAACAAGAAATCATGTACGATCCTCCACCTACCACTGAGGCACCACAGAAAAATCTCAGACTGTCTTAATGGTCTCTCCTACCCTAAATCTAGGGCACCTGGAGCCCCTCAGTACTCACCAGGGTGAAAGGAGAGGCCACTTGCTTTAGCTCCTTCAGTTTGACAATGAACTCATCAATTCTTTCAGCCACGGCTTCTTCATTCGCCTGACAGGAACAAAGAGTAAAAGATCAGCCCTGGTGATAGAACTTATGCCCCCATCACTTCCAACAGGAAGTCACGACCTGTCTTAGTGTGACTGGGAACAGAGACTCAGGCTTCACAATAAGAGGTAGCAAATAAGTTTGAAGTTTATGGGCGGTGCCAGATGAGCCTCATTTTCTCACTCATTCAGCCATTTAGTCCAGGCATTTGTGCCAGGTTATAGATAACAGTAAATAAACCAGAGCCCTCTCATGGGGCTCCACAGCCAGTTAAGAAGACAGGTGACTAAATTTGCAATTACATTATTTCATACATACATACATACATACATACATATATATATATATATATATATATATGTATATATGAAATGTCATAATAAACATAAGATACAATGGAACACTCAGGAAGCACAGATAAGCCCAAGAGTATCAGGAAAGGCTCTTCGGAGGCAATGTTACAGTGTCTGTCTGAAAAGAGGCCTCAATGTACAGTGGGGGAGGGGAAGTGGAAAGGAGAGTGGTACGGCATATGCAACATCCAGGCAGCTATAACATCGCTGTGTGCTTCCCCCCAAAGTTCTCCAACATTCAATCAGAGACAGCTGAGCCACGTGGGAAGGGGGACAAGTGTACATAAATAATTTTTCCTTGAGCTGCCGCCATCAGAAAACCCCAGCTCACCCTTCGTGAGGGCTGATCCAGCTCCAGGCCAGAGACGGCACGGCTGATCAATCCTTCAACAGTAGTCAGAGCTGGTGAGGAAGAACAAAAGACTGGTCAGTCTTCACTTCGCTATCAAGTGCCTGCAGGACCCTGGGCAGTTCACTTGAACTCTCTGGGCCTTGATTTCACCTGTAAAATAAGGAGGCAGGGAACAAGGTTCCATTCACCTCTAATTCATTCTGATTCTTCTGTAAGATGATGTGGAAAAACCCGTACGAACCTTTTGGCCAACCCAATACTATCTTAAGCTGCTTTACCTAAGCTTTCTGCTTATGTTAAACCAATGAAGATCACAATGATATGGCCAAACCCACACACAAGCCACTAGACCTGGCATCAGGAGTTTTGCAAGAAAGTAAGATTTGAGCTAGGCATGAACAGTGTTTGCACTGTTTGCACACTCTGACCTTAAACTTACCGCCTTTCTGGCTGAAGGCAGGAATTTCAAAATCCAGCTCTGGGATCCTTGTGGTGGCAGAGTCAGTCTTCACTACTTCTCTGTTCATGTCCTGGGCAGAAAGAAAAACCTTCAGTCCACAGAGGTCTCAACAATACAGGTTCTTCTCAGGAAATTAACAGAGTGCCCCCCCAGCCCCACCACCACCCTCAGAGGCCCCAGCCCAGCTGTCTCTTCCTCTCTCCACTAGGGGGAGTCCGGACTACTCCTGCGGAATAGTACCTTGATGTGAAAACCAGCTACCCAAACGATGAGAGTACTATTCATAACAACTACTGCTCATTTGATACTTTCTGACAAAGTTTACAAAGCGCTTTCACATGTCTTACCTCACCTGAGAAGATGACAGCACCAACGCCATTTTACAAAGGAGGAAACTGAGGCTAGAACACTTAAGTGGGTTTATTTGAGGTCCGACCACCTGGACCAGAGCTCTGACTCCAGTCCCCAAGCTTTCTCTAGGACACTAGGGTAACTGCTCTGGGCTCCTCTCACCTCCTGGGCCCTGACGGTCAAAGTATAGCGCACTCCCTGGTCCTGTATCTTGCCTGCCGACTGGATCTCCGTGTTGTTCCAGCCACAGTGCTCGCAGGAAAAGGAGCTCACGATTATTTCTCTAAAGAAGGGGATCTCGGTGAGCAGGAGGCGCGTCATGCCCTAGGGAAGCAGAAGACAGGGAAAAGAACCAGTGAAATCCCCATCCCCCATCTACTGACCCCCGGGCGTGTCTCGCCTCCGGGTCCCCAACTGGACCAGCCTGGCCAGGTCACCGACCCCCGCTCCTCCCCCCCTCAGCCCAACCCTCCAGCCGCCCGTGGCCGCGCTCCCGCCTCACATTGCGGTAGCAGTTCATGCACAGCGACTCGATCTCGGTAGGCTGCTGCTCCTCGTCATCAGCGCTAATAGGCCGGAACAAGTGCCCCGTCCCGGGCCGTCGGGCCTTGACGGGCGAGGGGGCGGCAGCAGCCGCCGGGAGCCCGGGACCCACAGCCGCACTGGCCAACATCACCACGCGCAGCTCAGGCCCCAACTTCGGTCTCCTGCGCCTCTCTTAGCCCCACCCCTTCCTCCGGCACTTCCGCCAGCTACCGCCCCGCCCATCCTTAAAGAGGCCGAGGACTCCCCTCGGGGAACAGTACCTGACACGCGGTTTTCCAGTTGCCGGGATTATTCGGTCCAGACTTCCAAAGCCAGCCGGATCCAGGCTTTGCCTCCACCTCAATTCAGGCGTCACTGCCCCCAGGGCGTCCTCTCAGACCCAGGGCAGTTTTTTGCTCCTTTGCAATAGCTCCGCCGTACTGGGTTCTAACTATTAGTCCACAAGTCTAACTACGAGAGGCTTGACGGCAAGGGGCCTGGCCGTCCATCGGTATCCCTGAGGAGGTGCGCTCCCTCCTGGGTTTGCTTGGATCCGCCGTTGGGCCAGATGCTGCCTAGGCTCTGATCACCCTCCCTTAGTCCCTCAATCTGTCTCCATTTCTGTTCTCACTCCCTATTTCTGTCCTCATAAACACCTGCCCAAATTCCTGCCTCAAATACACAGCCCTCACTTTTACCCCTATTGGCTCATCCCCACCATATCCAACCCCAGCTGACTCACCCCTCCTGATCTCCTAACCACCACCAACAAAAACACATTTTTGGGGGGTAAACTTTCCTTTCCAGCACCTCCTCTCCCTGGGCACCTTTCTCCCACTTCTGGTGCTAAATCTAGGGTGTCATGGAAGAGATCCAGTCTGCAGGCATGATGAGGCCAGATTCAGATGGGATCTGTGCTATGAGGGAGTGCGGCAGTGAGAACTCTGTGCAGGGTGGGCTAAGCCGGGAGGAAAGGGTGCTACCCTGGACGTTCTAAGGGTACTGGACCGGGTGTGTTTACCCTTTCCTCTCTCCTCTTCCCTCCACTTCAGCCACCCACAATTTCAGACTTCCCAGGGAGCTATGAGGAGCTTGGTTGCCCCCAAGTGAATATGTACATGGGGAATGGGGGTGGGGGTGTGAGTTTGAGGGTCAGTCATAAAAAGAGGGACAGTCAAAAAAGAGGCCATTCAAAATCTGGAACAGCCAGGACAAAGAAGACAGGCCACCTCAGGGGCCTATACCTCATGCACACCGTCCTGTGGTAAGCAGGCTGGTGAACAATGCAAGTGCAGAGGAAGGGTCTCTAACCCAGGCACACCACAGGTGTGACAAACAGCTGTCAGCCCAGCCAGAGCAACACCCCTCCGATACAACTGGATTAGGAAGAGGTCAATGAGAAAGAGTAGTGAGGGATTGAAGGCGGGTGATGGATGTGCTTTGGGGATAGTGGTGAGGCCACTGCTTTCAGACATAGTCCAAATGAGAGTCACACCAGGCAAATAAGCTTCCATCATAAGCATCTATTTCATTTGTGTCAGAAATCTAGACTTCCGCCTGGGAGTCGGGAGGGAGGGGCCAGAGATGGGGAGGGCACACAGTAGGCTCCCCAGAGAGTTTTAAGTAGCCCTCACAGATTGGAGGGCTCAGTCAGCTGTTTAGATGTAGTGTTATGTAAGGAAATCCAGGCTCTGCTCCCTCCCATCACGACCCACACCATTTGTCCACACCAGCATCAGCCAGCAGGGATATATACACACACACCATCACATGTTCTCTTCATCATATTTTCTGCTCTTTCTCCCTTCTCTTCCCCCAACAGAAGCTGTCATGGCAGTCCTGGGGAGAAAAGAGCTCCTCTCTGTGGACCAGCTCTAGCAATGGCCACCAGGTGGCCAGAAGTGATCAGAGCCTGGCCCTGGGAAGAAGTGGCGCAGGCTTCCAGCACCATGGCAACAGGCTTGCACATAATGACCCTGCACATACTGTGCCTCCTTGCCACCCTCTCCCGCCACCCCAGAATGGAGCAACTCAGGAGGATTCCCAAATGAGCACGGGAAGCCGGGTTTGCAAAGCCTGGTGAATGTAATGCATCCGGACGGGGGAATTGCAGGTGGCTGGATGGCCTAGGACAACAGCCCTTTGGGTGACCTCAGCTATCCTGTGCAGGGCCCTCCACCCTCTGCCCAACAGGCCACTGTCAAGGACATAGCTATGTTAGAGGTTCAGATCTTGGGCTCCCCAGACAAGAATCTGGGACGTGGACAAGTAGACCCTCAGGGCTCCCCCAGGTGGCCAGGACTATGGTCGCGAAGGCTGTAGTTGATGTCTTCCCACAGGTCGTCGAGGCGGGCCTGCAGCTCGCTCCGGGCCTTGCCTCGGTCCCCTTGTAGGAATTCTGGAGCGAAGGCGCTGTGGCCTGGCGGAGGCGGCGCCAGCTGCTGCTGGATCTGCTTGGTCTCTTGGTCAATGGCGCGGGTGAAGGCGGCAATCTGCAGGAAGGTGTCGTGGCGGAAAGCCTGGAGTCGTTGGCGCACCTCCTGAGACAGCACCTGGGGGTCCGGCTGGGCCTCTTCCTTCGCACCGTCAGCACCGGCGCCAGCAAAGGCGCTGAGCTCTTCGCGCAGCTGGTCGAGGTTCTGCTGGATGCGCGTGTGCAGGGCCTTGGCCTTGAGCGTGAGCTTGCGTGAGAGCACCTGCACGCAGCGGCTGAGGCGCGCCGGGCTGGCGGCCGCGTGCGGCGCCACGCTGCGGTGCAGCTCTTGCACGTGGTGCCCGATGCCTGTCACCAGACGCTCCGCGTACGGGTGGAAGAGCGCCTTGACGCGGCCAGTGTGGTGTGCCACGCGGTCCTGCAGATCCTGCAGCAGGCTCCGCGCCTCTTCCACGCCCCCCAGCAGCTGGGCCTTGGTGCCCTCTCCGACCACGCGCAGCTGCTCCTGCAGCTCCTCCACGCGCAGGGCCACCTGCTTCATCAGCTCCACCGTGTAGGGCTGCAGCTGCCGCCGCAACCCCTCCAGGTTCCAGCCCACGCGCTCGTGCACCTCCGCCATGTAGGGCTCCAGACGCTCCCTCACTTCCTCCAGCTCCTCCTGCAGCTGCTGCCGCATGCCCACCGGGTCGCGTGGGAGCCCGGGAGACTCCCTCCCCTGCCCATTAAGAGGGCCCAGCTTTTCCAGGAAGTTGTCCATATTGCTGACGTCTGGCTCAAGTCTGTCTTTCAGGCTCCTGGGGAAGGAGACAGACAATCAGGTCGTCAGACTGCTAGCGCCCTCATCTCCTTTGCCCCAAAGACGTCACTCACTGATCCTATGGAGAAACCAAGGATGCAGGGCGTTGGCCCCAGAGCCGGGTCTCCAGTACTAACCCAAGCCAACCATGCCTCCTCCCACAGGAAGTACAAACACATGGCACACGCATATCCAGGTCAACACTGCCCAATTCCTTGTGCACGGAGGCACCTGGACTCTCACATAATCCTTTCGTTCTGGACGCTGCTCCCTGGTCCCACGCCTCAGCGGGCATGGAGGCAGCAGCTAAAGAGAGATCAAAGGCGGAGGCTGCCGGCAGGGGTTGCTGAACAGCCCAGGAATACCAGGATAGAGGGCAGAGCTAGCACTGCTCTGTTCTCTTCCCAGGGAGGACCACAGGTTGAGGAATCAGGCACTGCATCATCCCACCCTCTGGGTGTCTTCTCCCTTTGCCCGCACCCCTTGCCCTGGCCACTCACGCGGGCTCCCGTGCCAGCTTCTGCTGCTGGATCTGCTCCACCCTGCCTTTGTCCCTGCTGCTCTGGGTGAAATAGTCCCAGAAGTCTTTCCGTGCCTGGGTGATTGAAAGCACTGTGGAGAGGGAGCGGGTGAACAGGGGCTGGGTTTCCTCCCCCAGGGTGGACGGACCCCTCAGTCCAGCCTCCACCCACACCTCCACAGTGAAGTCAGGGCTGGGGACCCACCTGAGAGGAGGGCCAGAGCCCAGATCACAACTGCAGCCACACTTGCCATGATGTTCTCTGAGAAGAAAGGTGAATGGAGGCCTGGTGAGAGTGAAGAAGCAAAGAAGGGACACCTCCCATGACACTTGCCCCAGGGGACCCTGCCCCAAGTCTGTTAACCCTCCCCTGGGTGTAGGGAGCACGGAGCTATCAGGGCTTAAGAGGACTGACCTAGTTGAATGTGGCTGGGAGGGAAAGGGTGTCTTCCTGGGATGGGTTGGGGGGCTCCTTTTTCACCTCATCATGTCATATGGAGTTTGTGGAGCTCAAACTGCTTTGTAAAGGTTCCCCCCCCACCCCACCCCTCACCCAGGAGACGCCAGGAGCAGCTCCCTCAGCCACTTCTGCCACCACTCCCTTGCTCACCTATTCCTGCCCCCATTTCATGACTGGGAAAACTGAGGTATCCCAGGGGTGGGGCAAGAAGCTACTCTGCCAAAGTGCTCCAAGAGGAGGTCCTTAATTCTTAGTTCCCACCCACAGCTCTCTGCTCAGTCCCCTCCCTTAGGACTCCGACCCACATCCCTCTGCCCTGGCTGCTCACCTGCTCGGTTCTGGGCACAGAGAGCAGACATTCCGCTTTATAGTCCAGGGCCTGGGCCTCTGGCAACAATTGCTCTGAGTAAATACCACGTGGAGGTTCAAAGCAGGATGACCCCAGCTGCCGCCCAGTGCTTACCTCCTGCCCTTTCCTGGTACCCAGGGGGTTAATGAGTACCCTAGTATCTGGATGCTGCCCCAGTAGAAAAGTGCTTCCTGGAAAGTTTTACAAGGAGTGGGCCTGAACTCCTCACCCAGTTCCCCCAAACCCCTTGACTTCCAACCTTCCTGTGGACCCGCCAATAGAGACAAGCCCGTTTGTCTGCTGAGGGCCCGGCTCTTACTCAACTGCCCAGAAGCACTGTGCCCCAGCCAGACAGGGACAGTGTCCAGCTGCCTGAACCTGAGCAGCCCTTGACACCTCCATCACGGGCTACTCAGGCAGCCTGGGAAGAGCCAGCATTTATAGGGTTGAAGACCCACCCACCTTCCACTTTATGAAATAATCCTGGAACAAGCTGGGGAAGTTTGATGGGGTGAAGATGACATCATGAGAGGCATCTGGGCCAGGGACACTGGGCCCAAAGAATGGGAGCAAGAGGAGATTCTCCCCATGAGGAAAGGCTGGACTCCACCCACAGGGCCTCTGAGGAGGAGAAGCCAAAAAGCCCAGACTTCCTCTGATGATATGCCCGCTCCACATACTTAAACACACACATTCATAAACTCCTGATTTTTGCTTCTAAATGTATCTTGAATCGATCTCCTTCCCTCCATTCCCACCACTGGTCATTTTACCACACCACTGCCTCTCACCTTGATCACATCTGTAGCCCCCAGCAGGTCTCCCTGCCATGGTCCTCCCTATTCAGTCCATGCTCTGCTGTGGCTATCCCAACCCACTTCTGGGGGCTCATCTCCTGCCACACAAACCCCTGGCATTCCCTGAGCATTACTGCCTCTTTCAGGACCCTAAGCCTTTGTACCTGCCGTTCCCTCTGTTTGAAATATTCCTTGGTGAACTCATATTCATTTTTTTCAGACTTAGTCTGTATTAGTTAAGATTCGGCTTAGCTGCAAATGATGAAAAAAAAAAAAAAAGGAGAAAGAGAATAGCTTAAACGAAATGGAATTCTGTGTCTCTCTTATGTAAACATAGGCCAATCAAGGCTCCTTCTGTCTTGTTGCACTATCATCCTCAGCAAAAGGCTCATGTCCACGTTTCAGCTGCTTCAGCTCCAGCCATCAAGTCTACCTCCCAGCCAGCAGAAAGAAGGACATGTACCCTTCCTTTAAAGACACATCCCAGAGATGGTTCTTACCACTTTTACTGACATCCCATTGGTCAGAACACAGTCACATGGCTGCACTTAGCTGAAAAGGAGAATGGGAAATGTAGTCTTTATTCTGGATGGCTGTATTCCCAGCTGGGAAAGAGCTATATTACTCAGGAAGAAGAGAAGAATGGATTTTGGAGGACCTGAGTAGGCTCCGCTGCACAGCTCCAGTATCACTCTAAATGCCCTCTGCTGCCCTCACACTTCTCTGGAGACAGACGATTCCATATTAACCATAGAACATTTTGTATATTCCTGGAGTATCGCACTTATTATCCTGCAGTGCAATGATTCATTGACATATGTGAGAGCTCTCTGAGTGCAGGGACTTTGTCTAATTCATCTCCATGTCCCCCTATTATGTTTGGCACAGCACATATTAAATGACTTGTCCATCATTACACAGTAAGAGGTGCAGCCAGAATTGGAACCCAGGTAGCTAAGGCCAGCGTGGGATGGGGCAGAAAGGGTAAAGAGACCACAATCAGGTCATGAAAAGCCGTGTGCAAGCAGTCACTGAAGGGTATATGATGGAAAGATCACTCTGGAGGGCAGCAAGACAGAAGGTGAGGAGACTGCTCAGAGGCTGTTTGAGTAACCTGAGAGGTGATGAAGACTCTGAACTAAGGCATAACAGTGAGGGTTGGTAGGAGAGAATATATTTGAAGGATACTGAAGTGGTGAACTGATAGTACCTGCTGACTGGTTGGATGAAGGAGGTGAAGGAGAGGAAGGAAGCTAGATGTTTCCCAGGTTCCTGGGCAAGTATGAAGATGATTGCGTAACTTGTGTCCATCAACAGATGAATGGATAAACAAAATATGGTATACACATATATACAATAGAATATTTTTTAGTCTTAAAAAGGAACGGATTCTGATACATACTACAAAAATGGATGAATCTTGATGACATTATGCTAAGTGAAACAAGCCAGACACAAAAGGACAAATCTTGTATGATTCCACTTACATGTGGTACCTAGAATAGCCAAATTCAGAGACAGAAAGTAGATTAGAGGTTACCAGGGGCTGGGGGAGGGAGTGATGAAGAGATAAATTGTTTAATAATACAGAGTATCTGTCTGGGAAGAAGAAAAAGGTCTAGAGATGGATAGAGGTGATGGCTGTATAACAATGTGAAAGTATTTAATGCCACTGAACTGTGCCCTTAAAAATGATAATTTTATGTTATGCATATTTTACCACAATATTTTTAAATAGCATTTCTGGTACCCTAATGGTTTTCTGCTGAGCCTATGCTATAAAATATAGCTGCACTGGATTTTCTGTGAATCATCATCATCACCACTCCTTCTAATGTCTTTTCTGGGATGCAGAGGAGACACCTGGAAACATATTTCCCAGAATCCCCTTCTCTCTATGGGCCTAGGTTAGAGTCAGCAGGGTGAGATGGAAGAGGAGAGACCATTATTCTTCATTGGTTGTTGCAGGCAGATGCATAGCCAGACTTGGGGTTTAAAGCAGCTTCTGGGTGACTTTCTTAAGAATCACACTCATTGGTTTTGCAAACTAAGATAATTAGGTGAGCTTCCCATTTGTAGCCACTTACAAGTGAACCTTTGAGAATCACTCCTTCAAGTGCAACCTGAGATGGTCACTCTTCAAGCCCTTCCAACAGTTTGCAAAACTGTAATTTTCTACATTACAGCCTTTCACACTTGAAAAATATAGAGTGGCTTCTGTTTTTCTGACTGAGCTTAGATTAATACAGTAGGTAGATGCAACACACACTCATTCTTCCCTATTTGATGATACAGTTTTAGTTTTTTAAAATGTTTGGGTTGGTTGGAGGTATTTGTATATGTGTATGTGTTAAGTGCTTTGTGTGTGGAATCATTTTAAATCATTGTAGGCAGAGTGACACTTCACCCTAAACACTTCAACAGACATCTCCTAAGAATAAGGACACTTTGACATAAACAGAATACCACTATCACACCTATGAATATTAACATAATTCTTTACTATCACCTATCATCTAATATATACCATATATTCAAATTTTCCCATTTCTCCCAAAATGCCTTTAATAGCTGTCTTCTCTCTCTTTTTTCCTTTTTATTTTATTTTATTTATTTATTATTTTTTTTTTTTTGCGGTACGCGGGCCTCTCACTGTTTTGGCCTCTCCCATTGCGGAGCACAGGCTCCAGACGCGCAGGCTCAGCGGCCATGGCTCACGGGCCCAGCCGCTCCGCGGCATGTGGGATCTTCCCGGACCGGGGCACGAAGCCGTGTCCCCTGCATCGGCAGGCGGACTCTCAACCACTGTGCCACCAGGGAAGCCCTCTTTTTTCCTTTTTAAATTCAGGATCCAACACATTTCATGGGGTTGTTATGCCTCTGTTGTCTCTTTACATTTAGAACAGTATTCCCCAACCCTTGACATTGACTTTTTTTGAAGAGTCCAGATAAGATGTCTTGGAAAGTGATCTGAATTGGACTAGTCGTTTCCTCACCATTAGATTCAGGTTAAACATTTTTGTTCAAGTCTTTGGATTCAAAAACCAGTCCCCTGAAAGCTCTTACTCACAGAAGAAATCAGCTAATACATGTAAATGGAATGATGTAATTTTTAAAAATCACTATTTTGCAACCCTCAGGGAATATTTGATTCAGGCAAGGTTCATCAATGAATGCTAAAACCATTAAATGAAAAATTATTGAGGAAAGGGATGCTCACATGCCTTCAAACTATCTCCCCACAAATTACTTATAAATCACTACACTTTACTTTTGCAATAGAGAAATCTGGTGGTTGATTTTAACCAAGTGATCAAACTTAACATCACCAAACAGTGGAACAACATGATATTTTGTACCTCCAGATATAATGCAATAAGAAGGGTCACCTCTGAAGTGTCTTGAACCTGATTATTTCCACAGAACTTGTTTAAGCTTCCCTGTCTTCACTGTCTCCCTGTTGTGTAGAATCATGGTATTCACAGACAGCTGAATTTTTAGAAGAGAGTTAACCATCTGTTTTTTGTTTTTGTGGTTGTTTTTTGACCCGAGAATTGCCAACATAATCTGACTGTAGAGTAAAAAGAATTTTAAAATGTATAGTTATAAAGATTAAAATGTACCTTGCTCTTTAATGCTCTGTAGCAGCAGTTGTACTGTAAACACATGAATTAAACAAGTATACGGATCTCAAATAAAAACTCAGTGTGAACCAAATGGGAAGACCTCCTAGACAGTCTTTCTCTTGTGACCTGTTCTTCAGAGGAACAATAGTGACTCCTCATTGTATGTAGTGTATAAAATGTGCTGCAGGTTGCCCTCCTTCAGCGTACTCTGCCAAGATCTCAAGTGTAAGCTGTGATGCAGCAGTCTCCGCTCAGTGTGGCATCAGTTCCTGGATTCCCTTTCAGAACACACCAGGGGCATAGAATATAATCATAATATAATAACTGCTCTTTATGGATCCATTCTACATTGCTTATATTTCTATCACCAAGTCTTAATGGAAGTCCATTTCTT